AAGGCTCTTAAGTGACACATACCCCCTTGATAGTTGACTTGTCTGGCATAGTTATTAAATGACTGTTTTCTTTTCCTGACCGAATGATACAGTAGTGAGATTTTTGCTGTTTGGTATGGAACAGATTGAAACCTTGATGGCAATTCTGTCTGATGTAGGCTCACCTTTGGTGCAAACAACCATTAGCGCTCTCCAGGGCATATCCTATGCAACTGATTTTCATGATTAGGACACATTGAAAGTAATTATTATGACAGAGCTGCCTGGCTTTCCACAGTATCCGGGACAAATYTGCATATTCCTCTACTGCTCCTATAACTGCCGTACGATACTCCATCTCTAAGWCAGCTGCAAATGTTAACTTGTGACATCTGGTTCATTTAATAAAAGTTTTGCCTTCTATCGAAGATACCCACTGTGGGTTTGTTTTGCCTTTACTTTTGACTCATAGTCCCTACTTGTAAACATCACCTGACTGGTGTGCAGGAGCTTTTCCAGGGAAAGGGCTGGATACCTGTTAAATAACCTATTCTAAATCTCTCCCTTGCAGAGTTTTTAAATAGTGATGAGCTTGGCAGAGCTTTCTTTTTGTTTCTAAAGGCAAGCTTTCTGTATTTGAAATAAGCTCTTACTGCAGATCTTCTCAGAATAAAATTCCCCAAAGGGAGATATCCCTTCGTAGCTTTTAGCTACTATTTGTCCTCCATCAACACAACRAATTTATTTATAAATGCCAACAAGCTTTTGAGTGGACTGCAGCCAAAGACTATGTGTTTAGGTATTCTCTTGTTAACTCTTGGATTGTAGAGTTTAATACTGCCACAGGATCCTGTCTCAGCCCTGCCACTTGCAGTCACATGGAGTACCACAGGATTGTTGGAATAAGCAGYACCTTCCCACCTTCCCATCCCTGGGGAAGCAAAAAGCAACACTTGCAGCAACAACACTCTTGCAACTCCCAAAAACCTTCAACTCAGGAAAAACAAACAAACAAACACAAAGAAAAAAAAACGGGGAAGGGAATATTTCACTTGTATGTGTGCRAATACTGAGCTCCACTTAAAGTGCTCATGCACCATTTAGGCCTCAGCTTGACTCCAAGCACACAAATGATCCCACTCAAGACAAGTACTTATTGAAGGGCTATGCTAAATTAGTCTCTACACATGCCATGTCCAGTCCAATCCCAATTCTCTAAGTTTTCATTTCAGCTTCCAGCATTGTTGTGCCTTTTCCTTCTGCTGGTTAACTCCTGTCACTGCTGCAGAGGAGGGGTAAAAGCCATTTGAGCTATAAGCCTGAGCTTCAGGAACTCCTCACAGCACCCAAGATTTTCCTTTGATAATATATTGATTTTGGTTATTTCATTCCTGAGGTCCAGCACAGGGGTAGCATCTGATCTATTGTTACTGATCAAGTGGCACCTTATCCTCTGAAACAGGGATGAGTGAGCCTCACAGCCACAATTTTAWACAGGATTTTTTGTTGATGCTGCTTYATTGGATTGCTGTGAGAGTTTTTGMCAGACATGGCTTACTAGAGAGCATTGCTGTTCAGTTTAATTTATTGACAGTGTAAATAACTGCAGAGAAAGAATTATCAATGTCTGTGCAGGTTGGCCTCTGGTGAGCTGGGAGCAATTGCCCAGAATAACTGCTGCTGAAACCTAGGGTGATTGCAGCAATAGGCAGGCTGTTTAATAATTCTGTCACAAAATGGTATAAACAGGCTCAGGCAGTTCCTAGATGGAACTAGGTATTCTTCCCCTSTCCCAGTCCATCTGATTTCACTGCAACACAGTTGACCCAATGTTCACAATACAAAAAGCCTCATTCAGTGCCAAGGAGGCAATGTCAGGACAGCCTGGGTGAGGTGTCCACTGTGTGAAYTGCCCCCTCCCACCTTAATCTTTTTCATGTTGTGGTGTCACCACTGGCTGCTGACCCAGATCTGGTTTCTGATGCCTGCAACCCTTGCTCAGCAGCTCAGTGTGATGTACAAATTGCTCCTAAAGCAGGTTTGATGGCACCTATTGCTGAAGGAAGTCACCTACTGCATTGCCTGGGCAGCAACCAGCAGAAGTCAAAATCAAAAAGAGGTGAGGGCTAAATTCTGCCACAGTCTCTGACCTCCCTTCCATAGACACAGCAGTTGCCCAGTAAGGCTGCAGATCACAGGCATCTTTCTGTAAATTTGCATGAAAATTATACTGAAAACCAGTAGTAGTCTCTGGTTCAAATGACCACACTGAAGTGTATAGTAAATCTCGTGATTTATAGACTAAACCTCTCCATTAAATGCAGATTCTCAATGAAGTGTTTAAATGATCAAGTTTAATGCTGAAATATTGCAAGCATCTATTCAACAAGAGACTGGAATGAGAATCAGGTTACTACAGTAACTCAGGTTACTACAGGCACATTATATTTTTTGAGGCAACCAGAACTAGATCAGGAGGTTTCCTGCCAGCTWGCACTGCTGCAGACATGGTCAAATATTATAAAATGAGATGTACTCTCTGCTATGGGAACACATGAACTAAAAAGTACACATAAAGTAAGGGTGGGAAGTAGAGGCAAAAAGGGAAACAGGGGGCTTAAAGTGAATCAAAGTGCTCCAAAAGAAGAGGGGGAAAAAAATTGCTGTAGCATTTCCTTGGGACCAGAGCTGCTTATGATCTGCAGTGCAAAACTGTCACAGGCTATTCCTGATCATCCTCCTCCCAAAGCAGCTCAACACCTGCATTGCTGCTGCCTTTGCAGAGCTGACCTTGAAGCCAATGGCTTTGAACCACTTAAATAATGTCACAAAAATAAAAACAGCTCTTCCCAGCCTGTGGCCTGAATCTTACATGTCCCAGAGCTTCACAGAGCTAACAAAGTGCCTAACTCTTCATCTGTTGCTATCAACTCTTTTGGAGGATCATCTTTATTTTGTCTGTATCCAGCATATGAAGGATACAGATTTTTTTATCAGTGTAAAGAGCAGAGAARTAGGAAGTCATCCCACTGAGAGCAGCATTTTACTTCCCATATACCTTCAGATAAGCAATGATGGATAGGACCTGCCAGTTTATAACAGCTCTTTATTTTACTAATATTATAAAACATCATCACAGGGCTCACCTGTTTCGCATCATGAGCTTCATTTTCCCCTTTATTATAAATACTAACAAATTAACTTTATTTTCCATCAGCAATATCATAAAAACTCAGTCTAACTGGACATATTTTTCAGTGATCCCTTGAAGCAAAAATCCCCAAGAATTTGAAGTAGATCTCTATAATGTATATACATTTAGTTTTATATATATAATCATATCAAAATTCACCATTTCTGTATATCACTCATGATTTTTCAATTACTAAATTATGTCAGCATTATGAAAATATGAACAGCCATCTAGTTATTTTGCTGCTTTATAAGATATTTAATAATTGAACAGAGAACTGCAAAATTACATGAATGCAATGGAAAGTCATGTACATGTTCATTTAAGAATTTCACATGGACTTTTCTTCTTTTAAAACTTTTCCACATTTTAGAAGTCCTGTAAAAACTTTCAATAACCTCTTTCTTTGATCACATACACACAAAAAGTTATGATGTGTATATGTGTATTATACTTCAYATACTATATGTAATTCTAGGTATATTTATATGTGAATATAGGTAACATATTCTGAATATATATATATCATATGTAATATATATATGCATACATATATATATATATATACACACACAGATACCACAGGTGTGCATGTATTTAATCATACAGGTGTATGCATAAATATATATTTATGGTAAATTTTTCTGATGGGACTGCTGCATGCAATGAGGAATGTGTGAGTAGYGTGAGGCTGCTTGGCTTGGCTTTAGACTGTAATTCGCATAGACTTTGAGTAGGTTGAGCTGTTTATTTTTCATTTGGAAAATGAAAGAACAGGCCTCTTACGGAAAAATAAAAGATGGATATTCACTCCAATTGACAGCATAGATTATACATTCTTAAGTGAAACACATCCACCATAGAACTTTTGGGTTATGTTTTTAATTTGTTAGATAAATACTTACTGACTGTGTTTCTACTACTATGCACCGGATCAACCAGGACAACTCTTATTAAAACAGCTTAGATTAATACTCTGCATATTAAAAATACATAATAAAATTCTGAAACTACTCACTGCTAAAATGTAGATCTTGGATCCTGCAAAGATCTGAATTATTGGCTTAAAATTACCACTTGAGTAAGTCCACTGATGGGCTTTAGTGTAAATGCCTGAATATTTGCAGAATCAAGATCCTTTTTTATTCAAAGGGTAAATTTGGGATCTCACACCTGCAAACATGTAGTGGTTGCTTGAGTAAGTAATTCCCAGCTGGGAAAATGTTAAGTTTTGCAGCAATAGCCAGAGCATACTCTAAGGGTAAGAGAGACGGGCCTTTACTTGTCCAAAAAGTCGAGATGGGACTGACTTTAAACAGCAAAGAACAATGACTACCAACAAATCTTCCCAAATACACTACATTTTATTTCTCAAGGAGGCTACTTTGCATTACACTTTAAAAAGTAGGCATATTTTTCTCCTCAAATATATTTGTGTAACATAAAACCAGTAAATATCTAGCTTTAAAAAAGGAAATTTGAATTTAAAATTGTTTTGGGAATGAAACTGCATGCTTCAAACTTTCCCCATAGCAGTTTACTGGCAGCTGGGTTGTAAACCCCAGAAAACAGGTGGCTGTGGTTGGTTATGCTGACACAGCCTCATTTTATACTGCTGGAGAACATCTTGGTAGAGAGACCAGGAGATGCACAAAAGCTGCCAGAAATGCTACAGCTCATCCCTATGTGCTTGTTCTGCTGTAAGATGGTAAATTGATTTAAATTGCCAAAATTG